GTCAGAAGTCAGCTGAGAAGAGAACAGATCAGTGATAGTACAGCAGAGCAAGCTTATGTGAAATATATCATGAATTTCTAATAATGTATCAAGACAGTAGTTGTGACTATCTAGAACTTCTATCACTTTATATCTGACATGATGATAGTCTAGTGTATGAGATGAACATGTGATTCATATATTCTTGAGATTCAATCACACAAGATCTTCTATCTTATACTGCTCTGCAGAATCTCATCAGATGTTAATTTAATCTTCTTAGTTTTATTTTATAATTGTTATGAAGACCTCTGCTCAGTTATGAGTGTCTCAGAGCTTTATTACTATATTATCAGCAATCTGAATCAGACTGCAGAGATTCAGTGTGTACTATGTAATCTCTAGAAGATTCAACACTTTCATATGATACTCATGTGTAAGAAAGAATGAGCTTACATCTGTTGAAATAGCATCTCAACTGTTGATAGTAATCTCTGTGTGTAGAAGAAGATCATGTCAATCATCTTATGAGTGATTACAGAACTTATAAAGATAATTCTTTACAGTCTGAATTATTTATTCTGATGCATCATCAGTCTCAGAGTGATAGATAGTTAACAGACAGTGTGTAATCTTGAGAACTTGACAGATTCTTGTTCAGAGAGCACTCACAAATTGATGACTCTGATTCAATACTATCAATCTCAGCAATTCATATATCTGATAGAATGAACTCTGTAAGAAGGCTTCAGTGACTTGTTCAGTATTCATCTTATTACAAGATTTCAATATTACACTCTTACTTAGTCAGTTAACAATGATTAGAATGTTTCTGCAGTTCTTGCTCTTAGATAGATTAATAGTGAAGTTAATTACTACATCTCATCAGATTCTATCAGAGATATCAAGTGATTTCAGTAGATCTTTTCTACAGTTCTTTTATAAGATAACAGAAGAACAGTAATTGCAGTTTCAGATGAAGTATCTGATACTATTTAATATCTCAGATTAGTAGAATTCTTGAGAGATCATTCTATACAGTTATTCATAGCTCAGATAATTAGTTATATACAAATCATGCATCTCTTGCATTATCTGAGTGTATAAGGGTTTGAAGTGAGAGACTCAGCATTATTCATGAAATTATAGAGTATTATTGTCATTGATTGAGCATTCTGAGATATCAGTTCTGATATGTAGTTCTGAGAAAAATCAGAGTGCTTCTTGATATACTGCTTCAGTGAGAGTCTGAAGAAGTTCATCAGTCTGAGCTGCTGTATGCCATAGTTTGTTCAGTGTAGAGAAAGTGAAGATATTGATATCAGTTCTAATCAGAGAAGTATGTATGATGTCATGAGTTATTCTATCTTGATCAATTAATATCTTCAGATTCAAGAGCTGATGCTCTCAGTTTATTCAGTGAGTATCTGTTACATCAGATGATATATCTTACTCTTATTATAAGAGAGCATCTGCTATTGAGTTCTGACTGTCAGAACAGTAGTGTATTGTAAAATGAAAGCAGCTTAGAAACTCAGATCATCATATCTGTTATTCAGTAAGTTTACAGATAGTTATAAAGTATTTGAGATTCTTATGATCTGTGACTATCTCAAATTCAGAGACACTTCAGAGTTCAGAGTCTCATTCTTCTAAACAGTGTATAATTGTGAGAAGTTTCTTATCATAGATCTTATAATTATATTCAGCAGAACTCAGTTTCTTAGATATGAAGACACATGATTATAGAACATCTTTATCATCATATTACAATATCACTTCTTCTGTCACATAGTCAGAGAAATCAGCTTCAACAACTGTCTCACAATCAGAATTAAATATTATTAGCAGAGAGATATTAATGAACATCTTCTTCATCTGTGTAAATGCAGCTTCAGTATTCACTGATCATTGAAATACTGAGTCTTTCTTAGTGAGATCTGTAAGTAATCTTGTAATATCTGAGAAGTTTCATATAAATCACTGATAGAAGTTAGCAAATTTGATAAAGCTTCATACATCTTTCACAGTACACAGAGCTTCTCATTCAAGAATGATGAAGACTTTCTCAGAATTCATTTGAATCTTCTTATCAGCTTCTATAATAAAACTCAGATACTTGATACTCTTGACTTCAAAATCACACTTGTCAATATCTATCAGTAGTTCTGCTTCTTGTAGCTGTTGTAATATCTTTTACACATGTTCTTGATATTCTTTTCTGAATTCATTGATGAAGATAAGAATGTTATCTAAATAAGTAGATACAAACTTATTAAGAAAATCTTGAAGCACTCAGTTGATATACTTCTGAAATGTACTGAGAGTATTAGTCAGTTCAAAGAGTGTGACTATTCATTCAAAGAGGTCATAATGTATTTGAAATGCTGTAAGTCATTCATCTTCTTCAGTGATACAAATCTTATGAAATGCAGTGATGATATCTAGTTTTATAAATTATTGAGCTCACTCAATCTGTGCTAGAGTTTCATTGATGAGAGATAAGAGATATTGATCTTTCTTTATTAATCTGTTCAGACCTCAGTAGTTCACACAGAATTGAAGTTCTTCACCTGATTTCTTTACAAAGAGAATAGAGGCTGCAGTGAAAGAGTTGCTAATGTATATAAATTCTTTATTCAACAGATTATTAAGTGTCTTTCAAAGAAGAAGAAGTTCATCTTGAAACATGCTATAAAGAGAGCCTCATGATGATTCAGAGTTCTTATTAGACTGACTGTGTGACCGTGTCTGAGACCAGGATCAAACTTTACAGTTGTCATGTTGTCTAAAAGCATTACTTCTGATCATGATTTGTGTTCATCACATTGATCCCAAATCACATTATTTCAAATATTAAAGGTCTCAGATTCACTTTTCAAATAAAAATCTAGTCCTGAATAAAGAATATGTTTGAATTCTTAGTCACATTTTCATTCTGATTCTATTATTGAGAATGACATCAAATGAGACCATGAAATCACTTCTCACTTATATAATATCATAACATAGTGCTCATTTGTTGAAAATTCAACAGAGAGTGTTATCAAATATCATTACTTTTCTAAACACAGATTATAATTCATATAATTTTAATTATGAAAAAAACATAAAATACAAAAAAAAACAAAAAACAAAAAACAAAACAAACACAAGAAAAAATCACATTAAAAAAAAAAAAAAAAAGAAAAGGAAAAGAAAAAAACAAAAAATAAAAACAAAAAAAATCAAGATTACAGGGCTGCAGCATTCTCAAAATACTCACTTCTCAGAGTCTTCACAATGTTCATTATCAACTGTGTATTTCTCACAGTGAGAGTAACACAGCTGTGATAAGTCATTGTCTTAATATCATCTTACAAATAATCAGTATATATCTGTATAAATGTGAATAATTAGAAAACATACACTTAAAAAGTGTGGCCAGGGTGGACTCTGCTGCCACTTGAATAACATCAAGGACAGAATGCTGGAATCAATGATTCTTCTCATCAATTTCACAGACAAGGCATGTGAAGGTGGTCTTGAGAAATATAAGATTTCTCAACTTCTGATAAAAATGAATCTCATGAAGAGACTCTATTTTCATGATATCAGAGACTGAGTGTTATCAAAAAGTGTTACTTTTATGCAATGCACATGCACTTACTGTGATGATTCATCCTCTGTGCATGTGACTGAGAGTTGCAGCTTTTCCACGCCGCATGGCTCTCTCTGGAATGCTGCTGTCAGTTTGCAATTCACACAGTCTCTCAGTTCAGCACACGCTGCGCATATGCAGCTCTGCATGCTGGGGCTGTGTTGATCATTATAGCCTGGCGTGGTACTCGCTTTTCGCGAGCCATGTTTTGTTTGAGGGGGAGAGAGAAAGATATGACTATTGTTTTATTGAGAAGAGAATGAATAATTAGTATTATTGAATTATTTTGATTCATCTGCATTTAAAATTTGATTAGTTTATACTCTTTAATTTGAGGGTTTCTATGAGTGTTTTAATAGTTTTCATACCAGCTTGGACTTAGTGATGAGTTGAAGAAGAAGAGAAAAGAGAGAAGAAAGAAATGAGAATAACTTATCTTTATAATATGAAAACAGAGAATCACTGCAATCATTCTTTCTAGTAACAAAGATCTGTTTTCTGCATGTATCTCTGATATAGATTATATGATAAATGTATACAAAGAATATCAATAGTGCATGCATTGAATGAAGATAATGTTGCTACACAACACTGTAGCTGTTTCTGTACATCTCTGAAAGCTGTTAATAGTTTCTTTGTCTCTTTATATTTAGTAAGTCAATAATATATTCCGATGCACTTTCTCTTTCATCATCATCATCATCATCATCATCATCATCACTATCATCATTATCATCATTATCATCATCATCATCATCATCATCACTATCATCATTATCATCATCATCATTATTATCATATCATTGCCTGCCTTCACCTCTCTTCAACGCTCATTAAAATCAATCATGTCATCTCTCTTTAAATATTCTGCGGTTCTGCGGACCACCAAGGCGTGTGAGAGCTGTCACAGATTGAAGGGAGAGAAGAAGAAGGTGTTCAAATGCAGGGAGACAGATTGCAAGACATGTTATAATGCCTTAAAGAGGCTCTGCAAGAGAGCAGAATGATAATGATTTTAAGTAATACTTCTGATAGATTTAGACTGAACTAAGTATAGAAATAATGTGGATGGCACTGCTTATGAGAGATTGAAAAAGAAGACAGTGAAGAGCCTCATACAGCAGTGATGAGACCAGGAGAAGTCCTGAGAATGATTTAAGGCCAAGATGAAGAGAGAGAGAGAGAAGAAGAGTGTTACTGTAAATAAGCAGTAGCAGAAGAAGATTGAGAAGGTATTGAAGTGAGAGATAAAGAAGTCAAAACTGGTAAGTTTTTATTGAGAGGTAATGATTTTTGATAATGCTTCTGTTCTCTAATTGATTAGCAGAAGCTGGCAGAGAAGGAGAGGATTGAGGTCTTGTTCAGGTCTTGAATGCACTTCATGATCCAGAACATTGAGAAGACAGCCCTGCTCTCTGAGCATGCCAATCTGCTTACTGCTGAGGTGGAACCCGAGACAGCAGACCAGGAAATGCGGGATTTTGAGGCACAGATTGACCTGACTGAAGAGGAGCAGCAGGAACCCTCCTCTGAGAAGACAGTGAAGAGAGATTTTGAGATGATTATCACCTCAGATAAGAAGAAGGAGAAGAAGAAGAAGAAGAAGAAGAAGAAGAATAAGAAGTGAATTGTGAAGAATGATAAGAAGAATGAGAAAGAGAAGAAGTAGATTTTTTTCTTTTTATATTAGTTAGTTATAAGTTTAAGTTTTTAATTATTAATAATTAAAATTGATTTTGAGTTTTCAAAAATTATTGTACAAGTTGTAATCAAGTCAGGAATGATATATATATATATATATATTTAACTATCATGATTCACAAATCACTATAATGTATAAGTATCAACATTTTTTCAACATTGATATTCACAATATTAATATATTTTTAATGATATTATCTGATAATGCAATTTGATAATGCTCTCTTTCACAATATTAATATATTTCAAGAAATATAACAGAGATTAATCAAGATTATTTATTTACTTTTATACATCAATGATATTCAATCTGAGTTAGTACTAAAATTATAACTAAGCTAAGAAACAAGATTATTTTCTCTTATATTAATTCTTCTTACACACATCAGTGATCAGTTATTGAAAATAAATTATCATCTTTCTCAAATTATTATCATATCTTCTGAATTCACTTCTTTCACTTCTTTTACTTCTATTGAAGATTCACAAACTCTTCAAGAAATCACTGTGAATCACAAAGTCTACATTGTTTACAATTCAACACAGAATGCTCTCTTTCAATCATGATGAATAATCACTTCATTCTTCACATCTGATTCCAGGCCATGAAATTTATGAAAAACTCAACACAAACATTGAGATGAACTATGGAATAATTATTAACAGGTTGCATTGCAGATTACTGAAGAGTCATCTCTTTACTGCAATCACTGCAACTTCATTCAGAAACATTCATCATAAACTGGTCATAACTCTGAAGAAATTTTCCAACATCTGAAGTCATCAGAATGCAGACAACAAAAGAAAAATAATCAGAAAATTACTACTGAGCTGGTAAGTTACTCTACCAGGTAATGATTTTTAGTAATGCTAACTTTCTAATTTGAAGAAAATTATGTGAAAATGACTCTGTACCAGTACTCTGATTTCACAACTCTCATCTGATAACTTCTGTGAACAATTACTTCACATGTGTATATCTCTGAATCTTTCTCTTCAATCAATTGAAAACCCCGAATTCTGAACACTTCTTCAAATGCTTAATTCAAATCTTCATATTCCACATCAATCCTGTCTTCAGTCCAATCTTGAGACACACTACAAAGTCAATATGCAATATCTAGGATCAGAGTTGAAGAATCATTGAAGAGTGTCTCTCACAGTGAATGCATGAACTAGTACAAACAATCTTGCATTTATGAGAGTTACATGTTATTACATTGATGAGAACTGAACTTATCAAGAGACATTAATTGAATTTGAATCATTGATCAGTAGTCATACTGAGGATTATATGACAGAGGTATTAATGACTGTGATTAAAAATGACTATTGAGATATTAGTTTCAGTCTTCTTACAATTACAACTGACAATGCTGCAAATAACTACACTATGATGAAGAGCTTGAAGCAAAAATTGACTTTGCATTCCTGGAATGATAAACAAGATCATATTCTCTGCATTGCTCATGTGGTTCAACTTGTGATGCAAACACTGATAAAGAATCTTAACATCAAGGTGAAGAATAATGAGATGACTGATTCTTGAGATGAGAATGAGATGAAAGTGATTACTCAAGTAACTTTTACATTCACTTTACAAAAGATAATGTTTTTTGACAACACTTTTTAATATTGCTTTTTGATAATGCTTTTTGATAACACTACTGTTAATTTTGAATAGATTGACTAATAATTTAAATATCATAGATTTGAAACATTGCTAATGCAATTTGTACCTCTTCTAAACAATAACAATGATTTCATGATATTCAACAAATAAACAAATCAGTCACATCACTGAATATGATACAGGATGTTAGAACATGATGAAGTTCAACATATGAGATAACTGTTCAGACTCTTTGATTGTGTCAGATGATTGATCATTGAGTGCAACACTCTGATCAGAAAAAGATCCAGATATTGAAACTTTCTGATATGAAGTGAACTCAGTTGAAATATGTGATTGATTTACTGTTTCAGTTTTATAAGACAACAAAGGCAGTCTCAATCACTTGTACACCAATGCTGCAGTCAGTCTGGTGAGTGTATAACAGTTTATTTACTCATCTTGAGAAGCAGTTGAATCACTCAAAAAGAAATTCAGTCTGGGATAATGCTATAGTGCAGGCTATTATTACTGTAAGGAATAAACTGGCATATTACTACAGCAAAACAGAACAATCTTTTGCAGAGTACTATGCTGTAGCAGCTCTACTAGATCTCTCTCATTGAGTTAACATCTACACTTCTCAAGATTGGACAGAGGAGAAACAAGACTCATATATCAAATTAGCCTGAGACTACTACAATACCAACTATCAGAGATTTAAATGAGCAGATGTTTAAGATGTGAAGACAGTGAAATACAATTCCCTAGTAAGTAATGATCTTTGATAACACTTCATATCACATAGAACTATTATACTCACTTTGAAACAGAACTTGCATACATTGATTGCAACTGAAAATCAGGCAAAACTACATGCTTGTAAAACTGAATTTGACTGCTATCTTCAAGATGATCTGACAAATTTACACACCAAATCAATTCTAGAGTTATGAAAAATTGTTAAGAGTACATATTCAACTGTTGCACTGATGATGCATGATATTCTGACAATTTCATTGGCAGGGGTGAGAATAGAGTGAAAGTTCAACTCAAGTTGAGATATTTGTCACTATCACTGAGAACAATTACAAGAAGAAACAATCAAGAAACTCATGATTGTAAAACATGAAATTATCAGACAGTTTAATACCTCTGATCACAGTATATCAGAGGAGTGTAGTTTTCATGAGAAAGTGAAGAATAAACTTGCACAAGAATGTATTTAGTTGTTTCATGAGCATTATCAATAATTATTATCAAATTCTGATTATATAAGCAATCACTGAATGAACTGAATGAGACTGATTTTGATCTTCAGTCCCAGTTTCATTCTGATTTTGAAAGAATGATCATCTTTCACAGTTTATTCTGAAAAATTACTCTCATTTCACTGTTCTTGAATTAAATCTGGTCATTTTTCACACCATTTCTCTCAGAAATGGTCCATTTTCAGATTTTTTTGAGGCTTGGTCCTGGTGGGACTCATGCCAAGAAATGTATGAAATCAGACCAAATGGGACCAAATGTGAAATTCATGGTCCCGCCGGCCAGTCTAGTTCTTATCATTCTTTTTCTCTAACTTGATACTGTGATTCACTTCAGAATCTTATAAGAGAGATATGTTTATAATATTATCTTGTCAGAAGATATCTAGATATTCATGATATTATTGAGAGAGTTTCATACAAGAATCTGTTGTTATAACACAGAATAACTTTTCTAGAGCCTTTTTAATATCAGTCAGACTGGTGAAATAGATTGACACATAGTCTTGCTGTTGACAACTCTGTCAGTGATTTTAGTAATGACTTCTTTTTCAGAGTATTTTATATGCATTGACAGAGATCTGTGTCAGGTTCATGATCTTGTGAATATCATTTTCATAAACTCTATCATTATTAGAGAATATCAAGCTTCTGTTTCAAGCATTCAACAAGATGCCTTGTTCAGATAGTCAGATAAGTTCTAATATAAGATCATAATCAAGATTATCAACTTTATACACATAGACATCTTCACATTGATGTCCTTCTACATCTATGATCAGCTTCACCATGTAACAGGTACAAATGTCTTTTGAATCATCAAATTCTGCAAGAAGTCAGGGTTTTAATAGAGAGATACACTGAAAATTATAACATCTTACAACTGAAGATTTTATCATTGCATAGTGACATAGATCACTGTCTATCATGGCCTTCATATTATACATGTTATTAATCACAGTGAATACAAGAATTGTATTCATTATCATCTTCTCTTTAAATCATTGTCATCTGATCTCTTCAAGCTTCTGTTTGTAAATTTGAACAGAAGCTAATCTTTTCCCTGTTTCATTGAGACATTCTTATAGTTATTCTCTGAATCTTCCTCTAATGCAACATAGTTGATGCGGACAGATGCTGATTCATTCTTTGAACAAGAAGGCACTGATCCTTCTCTTGAATATGAAGACACATAGATTAATCAGCAGTTGAAAGCAATGTGTTCTGATCAGTTACAGTTAATGCACACTCTACATTAACATCAATCAGTGACTTCTTCAGAAGTGATCTCAGAGACTCAGAAGCCTGTTCAGATAGTGAAGACCCTTGCTTGTGTATAGATATTCAAGTCTACTCAATTCATAACATCTGCATCATTGTTATTTCTCAGCACAGGTGTATGAGTCACTGAAGTGTAATGTCTTCTATCACTGTTCTGTATATTCTTGAGCTTGATAAGACAGTTATTCATTATTCAGAGCTGTGTGTAGAAGTCTTTATAAGTTGAGTCTTCATCTACACTTATAAGAGCCTGTAAGAGTTCAAAAGTCAATACCTTCTTGAGTATGCTAATCTTTATTCAATTCTTTCAAGACTGATCATCTGCTTCTAGAATCTTGATATTGAAGTCAGGAATGAATGTTGTAAGAGAAGTGTTTCTCTGTCAGACACTCTGTAATCAATCTAATACTTTCTGTTACATGGCAGTGTCTCAGAACAGAACATTAAGATGTTTTATAATATTGTCAGATGTTTATAACACTGATTCATATACTTTCATTCATGAATGAAACTTCTGTTTCATGTGATTCTTCAATCATTCATTAATATATCAATCTTGATTAATTAATGAACTGATGAAATCTTCATCTACACTCAGTTTCATGAGCATTTTCATTCTTTATAATGAGTAGAGAGTGAGATCAGAAGCATTAAAATATATAGAAGCATTTAAGCATTCTTTCAGTGCTTTTATATTCAATTCTGTAGATGCTGAAATTGCATGAGTTTCTTGTTATGATAATCATTGAATCTCTTCATATTGAT